AAAAAATAAAGAACTCTTGGACCTGTAGGGAACTGGTGAGTCCAAATCGGGCGGAACCATAACAAGGGTGGGTTCTTGAACCGAAACCTCTACACCCTCGAGTTTTTCGGTTCACAATTTCATGAACCATCGACCCGCCGAGTTGGGCTCATAGGCCACGTCTACCCACCTAGAGATTTCAAATCAACAACCAATATGAAACAAAAAATCAATTTTACTTAAAAACAACAAGCACTATGCATGAAAAGGAGGGAACGAGTTCACCTCTCTTCACATCTAACTTCATTAACTCCTCACCGAAAGAACAGTTGCATTAACAGTCAGATGCCAAACCAAACCAACCTAAACATTCATACATATCTATGCCAAAAAAGCACCTTATTCTCCAAAGTCTTCAAAATCAAAACCACAACACACACACCACAACCAAAAAGAAAATGGCTCATCCAATTCATGAAGCCAACTCAAACAGCCCCTACGGCCACCTCACACGAGCCGAATTCTACCGAAAACACAACATACTCCACGACGAATCCTTCATGACCGACGACCAAAACCTCAAAATCTTCACCCAATCATGGCAATTGCAACCTTCATCGACTTATTCGGGCCCACTCAAGGGCCTCATTGCCATGATCCACGGCTACACCTCAGAGAGCGGCTGGCTCTCCGAGCTGACTGCCGTGGCCATGGCCAAATCGGGCTTCTTCGTCTCCTCCTTAGACCTCCCGGGCCACGGTCTCTCGGAGGGTCCGCCCGAGCACATAACCGACCTCGGCCCGTTAATTCGGGCCTGCATTAAATGCTTCGACTGGGCCCGGGCCCAACACCCGGGCCTCCCCAATTTTCTTTACGGCGAGTCCCTTGGCGGAGCACTTGCTGTCCTCGTGGCCCTTGAGCAGAAAGCCGCGTGGCGGGGACTCGTTTTGGCGGGAGCCATGTGCGAGGTGTCTGGGAAGTTCAAGCCGCCGTGGCCGCTCGAGAGGTTTCTTCCGGCGGTTGCGGCGGTGGCGCCGGCGTGGCGGATCTCGATGACAGAGCCGCCGTCGAGGAGGTCTTACCGGGAGGGGTGGAAGAGGGAGCTCGCGGAGGGGAGCCCCAACCGGAGGAGCTGCGGCCGGGCGACGGCGGCGACGGGGGTGCAGCTGCTGAGGGCGTGCGAGCGGGTGAGGAGGGAGTGCGGCGGGCTGGAGGCGGCGCTGCTGGTGGTGCACGGCGGCGACGACGCGATCTGCGATTTGGAGGGGGCGCGGCGGGTGTACGAGGAGGCGGGGAGCGGGGATAAGAGCTTGAGGGTTTACGAGGACATGTGGCATATGTGGATTGGCGAGCCGAATGACAGGGTGGACGAGGTTTTCGGAGAGATAATGACGTGGATTGAGGCGAGGGCTGATTTGGGTAATAATGGAAATTGAGTGGGGTTTTTGTGGAATTGGGATTTTTTTATTTGTTATTTTTATTTTGTTTGATTGTTTATTTGGCTTGTTAATAACTTGGATTGTGCAGGAATAATTTGATTTTGGGAATTGGTTGAGTAATGTTTTTAGTTTGTTTGTTTATTTGGCTTGTGAATAATTGGGATCGGTTTTGCTATTGAACCATTGAATGACACGATTTATAGAGATTGGATGGATGTTAGTATAATAAGTTATGGATGTTCCCATATGAGACTCATTCACTGACTTCATAGAATTTCTGTAACTTAACTTGGATCGACTTTGGGAATTGGATGAAAGCTTATTGTATCAGTTGGTTTGACTAACATATTCAATTAGGAGTTTGTTAAATAAATAGGTTGTAAATAGTGAAACTAAATAGATGTAATTTTTTTTTATTTATTTATAATCTCTTCCCAAAACGTTGCACTTTAGATTTTTATGTTCAAAATTAACTTTTTGTTTCCAAAAAACTTCTTCCCAAACGTTGCGCTTTCAGCTTTTTCATAATCAGCGTTTTGGGTCTACAAAGCTAATCAAGTAAGTTTGTTATCAAAGAGTTCAATTAATGAATTTTATTGAACAAACCTCTAAATGAGGTTCAATATGCTCATTTAGCTTCAATCAGTATCGGAGAAACCTGATCTAAATATGGTTGAATCTGCTAATTTAGTATCATTGGTTATCAAACAAACGAAACCAATATTTTGATGACATGGAAATGTAGCGAAAAGTAAATCAAAACCAGTTTTGGTTGGATTTTGATTTAAAGTAAGTTAATTTTAATAAAGTTGATTGAGTGAAGGATTGAATGAGATTTTTAATTTATATTTAAATAATATTTAAAATATCACAATTAAAGTTGATGTGATGTAAAAGTATGAGAGATATTATTGGAAATGATATGTAATTAAAAATATGTGAGTTGATGAACAGTGAATTAGCACTGTTGTAACGTGTGAGAAAAATTTATTGATATTATTTCATTGTATTGACAATATTAAAGAGAATTGGTTTGGAATAAATTTATATTGGATTTTGAGTTACAGTGTATACAAAGTTTATTCGATCCATTAAAATCGGTTTTAATATATAGCCAGTCTCCTTACACTACATTCAAAGTCACACACACCATATAAAAAAATATTTTATATGGTAAAGCGCCAAAATCGTGATAATTCGAATAAAAAAAAGTTATTTACCCATTAAAGAAAGGTAAAGTATTCCCCTTTTACATTTTCCTTTATTTGGCCTTTTTTTTTTTTTAAAACTTTGTTCCAACTTCCAAATGAAGGAATAGAATAGTACTGCGCGATCGCACATGCAACTATTCCACACAAGAGAAAAGGGCCAAATGGAATTTTGGTGGTGAAAAAGCAACAAAATCTTTTGATTGGTTTTTATGTGAACATTTTTTCCCCAAATTGCGTTCATCCTACTACTAATCAAAAGTTAAAAATTAAAGAAACCCAAATAAATATCAATTTTAAATCCATTGATACTAATTAATCTAATCTAAATGCATAAGAAGGATTCATAAATAAAATAAAGTGGACGGGCAAATAACATGTTCATACTGAATAGAGCTACTAATGAATCCTTAATTGGGCTC